TATTTGCCGGCGTATAAGACGACCCGGCATATAAGACGACCCCCCCAATTGGAGGCATGTTTTTCAGGGCAAAAAAGTCATCTTATACGCCGGCAAATACGGTAAATCAGATCTCTCTCACTCTCCCACCAATGTGAGCAAGCCACCGTCAGTCAAAATTCATAGTAGTGGTCCCCGGGATTTAAAATTATGAGTTTGGTGGTCCCTGAGGTCCAAAAGTTTGGCCACCCCGATCCAGACGGCCCCCCGATGCATGGAGGGGGTGGGGGTACGGGCAAAACTTGGGTTTGCTTTCAGTTTGGAAACCAAGGGGACACCTTAAACCAATTTTGAGAAGGCAGGACTTCAAGCCTCAGAATTCCCAAGCCAGAAATGCAGGAGACGTCGAGTTCTAATCCTGCTTTAGGAATGAAAGCCGGCTGGATGACTTTGGGCCAATCCTCAGGAGACGGTGAGTTCTAGTCCCGCCTTGGTGGGTGACTTGGGGCCAATCCCTCTCTCTCAGCCGAACCCACCTCCCAAAGTTGTTGTGAGGAAAATAACAACAGGGAAGGCATGTCGGTTATGTTCAGCACCTTGAATTCTTTGTAAAAAGAATAAAGGTGGGATTCAAATCAATTAAACCACAATACTAACCTTTCCCTGCATGCTGTCCTTTCAGGATACCGCCGAGGAGTCGTGTGCTCTGATATGCCAGGTTTTCCAGATCATTTACGGTGACCAAACCATTGAGTGTGTGGATCGGGCTGGCTACCATTACACCTCCACCCCAAAACGTCCTTGGCTGTCCAGCCGGAGTGAGTAGAACTTTCAAAGTTCTGACTGATGAACCCAACCCAGCAAGCGCTGACGAGACGATCCGATCGCGTAATGCAAAACTTTGTTGAGTGCATTATTTCGGCACAGAATGAAAGCAAAACCAGCTCTGGCTAATTCCCGGGCAATTCAATATAATTAAAGTATAGAATCCTCCCTCCCGCCATTCGTGCGGGTCCCCTTGTCCAATTAAGGGTCACAATATTGTTTTGAGAAGATGTCTTGAAAGCCTGGCCAACACTTGCCTCAGTGACCTTGGTTCTCATGGGTTTGATGCAGGGGTGGGGTTCAAAAATCCCAACCACCGGTTCTCTGCCCCGTTGCTGGGTGAGCGCCATGGCCATGGTGGGCGTAGCCTATTGGAATTTCCTGGAGGGCCATTTTTTTTTTACATTCCCCAGAGTCCTAAGGCTTCCCTCAGGCCTCTGGGAGGTGAAAATGGTCTCCCCCAGGCTCCATAGGCCCTCCAGAAACAGGCCCCATTTCCGGACTTCCGGAACTTCTGGGAGAGCCATTTTTCACCTTCCCCAGAGTCCGGAGGCTTCCCTCGAGCCTCTGGGAGGATAAAAACGGTCTCCCCCAGGCTCCAGAGGCCCTCTGGAAGCCAGAAACAGGTCCGTTTCCGGACTTCCGGAACTTCTGCGAGAGCCATTTTTCACCTTCCCCAGAGTACTGAGGCTTCCCTCGAGCCTCTGGGAGGATAAAAACGGTCTCCCCCAGGCTCCAGAGGCCCTCTGGAAGCCAGAAACAGGCCTGTTTCCAGACTTCCGTTCCTTTCACGAGGGCTGTTTTTCTCCCTCCCTGAGCTTATGCGCGGGCCCTGCATTTACCTGCATCCAAAATGGGACGTGTGGAGATTCATGGGAAGGGAGAGGCAGGATGGGCAGAGCCATCCGATCGGTTCAACTACCGGTTCGGCAAACCAGATGTAAATTTAACCCCCCAGATGTAAATTTAACCCGAATCAGCCCGAACTGGCTGCATCCCACCCCTGGTTTGATGTTTAAAAACTCACATTCCAATTCCCCCTTCCCTCTCCCCATTAGTACAGGTCACATCGTCCAATTAAGTGTCACCATATTGCTTTGAGAAGAGGTCTGGAAAGTCTGGCCAACACCTGCCACAGTGACCTTGGTTCTCACGGGGCTGACTCCTTGATATTTAAACCTCACATTCCAATTGCCCCCCTTCCCTTGTTAAGCGAGGATTATCTGCACAGGCGACAAATATTGACTGAAGTTGGAAAATCAAAGGTCCTGGTCTCGCCCC